GTGCCTGCCCCCCCTGGCCCCATGCCGCCAGGTCCCAGGGGTGGGCCCACCATCCCCACCCCGGGGTGTCCCCATGGCATGTGCCCTCCCCAGTTGTGGACTGCAGGAACCAGGAGGAAAAGCTGCTCCAGGACCTCATGACCAACTACAACCGGAACCTGCGCCCAGCCCTGCACGGGGACCAGATCATCGATGTCACCCTCAAGCTCACCCTCACCAACCTCATCTCCCTGGTGAAAGACAACCCCCCCCGGTCCCCATAGTGGCGTGGGGTTTGCCCCCACACATGGGGCAGTGAGTAGAAGCTGGCAGGGTGCTAAAGCCATCTCCCCCCTTTCCATCCTTGCCAGAACGAGCGGGAGGAGACCCTCACCACCAACGTCTGGATCGAGATGGTGAGACCCCCTCACCTCCAGGCAGGACACCCCCAGCCATGGTTGCATCTCAGGGTGGCATCCTGTGGAGGGCTGGCACCGTAACCTGCATCCCCTTTTGTTGGTGTCCCCAGCTGAGCCCGTTTTGGGGGCAGCACGGACAGGCAGCACAGAAGCTGCCCTGCCTCAGGGAGCACCATGACGCTCCCTCTTTTCTCCACTTCTCCCAGCAATGGTCCGATTATCGCCTGCGGTGGGACCCCCAGAAATACGACAACATCCAGCAGCTGCGGGTGCCCTCCACCATGGTCTGGCTGCCTGACATTGTCCTGGAGAACAAGTAGGAGGCGGGGCAATGGGGACATATCCCCGCACAGGGGGTGGCAGCTGCCCATCGGGCACGGTTTGGGGCTGAGCCCACCCTTTCTCCCCCAGCATCGATGGGACCTTCGAAATCACACTCTACAGCAACGTGCTGGTGTCCCCCGACGAGCCCCCCGACGGCTGCATTTACTGGCTGCCCCCTGCCATCTACCGCAGCGCCTGCGTCATCCATGTCACCTATTTCCCCTTCGACTGGCAGAACTGCACCATGGTCTTCCAGTGAGCACCGGCTAAGCGTGCACAGGCACCATGGCAGGTCCTCCTGGGACACAAGGGTTTGGCATGAGATGTCCACCTTTGCTCCAGGGCAATGAGCCCCTGGGCAGACAAATGCCACCTATGTGTCCCCTGGCACCCCATCGGTGCAGGAGGCACCTTGGCCAAGCCAAGCACCTCATAGCAGAGCTGGAGGTGGCCAACCTGATCTGGTGCCACACTGGCACCCTTTGCCCATCCAGCCTGCTGCATGCCAGCCTGTGCCACCCCCTCATCCCTCCTCAGGTCCCAGACATACAGTGCCAACGAAATCAACCTGCTGCTGACAGTGGAGGAAGGCCAGACCGTGGAGTGGATCTTCATCGACCCCGAGGCTTTCACAGGTAATATCACAGCTGCCCCCGTGGCACAAGAGCATCCCACCATGGGGGCCACCCAACAGGGCTGGTGCTACACTGGTGGCTGCCAAAAGCAGGGCTGCAGGGGCTCTTAGCACCTCCGGCCATTACATGGGCACTTAAGTTATTAGTGGAAGCAGCAGTGTGGGAGAGATTTGTTTTTCTAACCCCCCCGGCTCAGGGCTCTCACCGCCTGCCAGCCGCTCTCAGAGAGCACTGCTCCTGGGAGCTTGATTGATGCTGGGAACGTAGCTGTCACGGCCAAACGATGACGTTTTCCATCACATTTTAATTGCATATTGAAGGAACAAAATGCTTTTCAGGCAGCGAGATTTATTTTTTCATTACTGGCCTGAGCTGCGATCTTGACTGGGAAAAAATCTATCGCTCCCGCAGACGGCGGGGGAAAACAGCATGTCGTCACCCAGCGTCACGCTCGGCTTCCCCCCACAGTGCTCCAGGGACAGGGAGATGGGGGGACCCCAGTCCCACACATAATGTGCTGGGAGCCCCCAAGGGGCTCGAGATGCCCCGTATGTACCCAGCTGTCCCCTCCAACAGCTTTTTGGGGTATTTTGCCTGGGCACTCTGGCACACTGTGCGGTGCTCATCTCCACCCCCAGCGGCTCTAGCACCTTTCCCTGCACCATGCCCAGCCTGGGTGCCCGGTGCGGCCCACGCCGATCACCATCCCTCCCCTTCCTGACCTCCCCGGGCTGGGGGGCTGGCAGCCCCAGTGCCCCCAGCAGGGCGGTGGGACTCACATGGCACCACTGCACGGCAGAGAACGGTGAATGGGCCATCAAGCACCGCCCCGCTCGGAAGATCATCAATTCAGACCACTTCACCCCCGATGACATCCAGTACCAGCAGGTTGTCTTCTACCTCATCATCCAGCGCAAGCCGCTCTTCTACATCATCAATATCATTGTGCCCTGTGTCCTCATCTCTGCCATGGCCGTGCTGGTGTACTTTCTGCCCGCCAAAGGTACGCACTGGTGCTGTGCTCATGGGGGACACAGGGATGGGCAAGAGACAATGAAGGGCTCATTGTCCCCTCTGTGCCTGGGGACAATCAGTGCCACCTCTCACCCACTCCTGTGATATTTGAGGGGTGTGTGAATTTCCATGCACTCCACGGTTAAAGCCTCACGGCAGGACTTGGCCGGTTTAGCTTTGGGATGGGCACGTTCTGCTAAAGGAGGCCAATGCCCACACCACCACCCCATGCCAACCTCCACCTTCCCCTCCCCTTTGCAGCGGGTGGGCAGAAATGCACCGTCTCCATCAATGTCCTCCTGGCCCAGACTGTCTTCCTCTTCCTCATTGCCCAGAAGGTGCCCGAGACCTCCCAGGCTGTGCCTCTCATTGGCAAGTAAGTGAGGTACAGGGATGAGGGTGCCAGCGGGGTCTCTGGGTGCTGTCCTGCTGTGCAGGACCCTGGCACAGAAATAACGCCCAGCCCAGGCAGGGCTGGCACAAGGCTACCACGTGCCCACATTCCACTGTTAGTCCCCAGTTTCCAGCCAGGAGGGCATTGAGCTTTCTCAATGCCCATAGCTTGTGACCCAGCAGCCCCACTTGAGACCCTGTGCACCCTCCCCAGGTACCTGACCTTTCTCATGGTGGTAACAGTGGTGATTGTGGTGAATGCTGTCATCGTCCTCAACGTCTCACTGAGAACACCTAACACTCACTCAATGTCCCAGAGAGTGCGCCAGGTACCCACTGTTGTCCCCCTAACTCTTATACATGGGGAATGGGGTGGGTATTTGGGGACTGAGGCCATGTCCGTTGCTGAGCGGGGTGGTGGCATGCCTTATGCCTTCACCTGAGCGCAAGTCCTGGCACAAAGAGGAACCCCCCAAGATGTCCCCAGGGGACCACACTGTGCCACCAAACACCTCCAAGCCGCTCTGAACACGGGGAAGCAGCAGGTGCCAACATACCCAGCATCCTGGTGGCACAAGGGTACCCCATGGGGATGCTCCAGGCGATGCAAGGGGACCCGCTCACACCCACTGGAAGCCCTGGGTGGTGTGAGGGATGTCAGGTCCCTGTGAGTGAATCTGTGCCCAGGTGTTCCTACACCTCCTGCCCCGCTACCTGGGCATGCACATGCCAGAGGAGACGCCAGGCCCACCACGAGCCGCCCGGAGACGCAGCTCCCTGGGGCTCATGGTGAAAGCTGATGAGTACATGCTCTGGAAAGCCCGGACCGAGCTGCTCTTTGAAAAGCAGAAGGAGAGGGATGGGCTGATGAAAACTGTGCTGGAGAAGATTGGTAAGTGCCCCCAGGGGGTTGGCACCTCTCCACAAGGCTGGGTGATGTTCCAGGCAGCCGGGTGCTCACTGGTGCCCGCTGTGCTGGCTCTGCTGCCTGTAGGACGTGGCCTGGAGAACGGCAGTGCTCAGGACTTCTGCCAGAGCCTGGAGGAGGCAGGCCCCGAGATCCGTGCCTGCGTGGATGCTTGTAACCACATTGCCAACACCACGCGGGAGCAAAACGACTTCAGCAGTGTGAGTTGGGGCCAGGGGGAGCAGGACCCACATGGGGAGAAGGGGCAGCCCTCACCCCCCTCCTCGTGCCACCGGCAGGAAAGCGAAGAGTGGATCCTGGTGGGACGGGTGATCGACCGTGTCTGCTTCTTGATCATGGCCTCCCTCTTCGTGTGCGGCACCGTCGGCATCTTCCTCATGGCTCATTTCAACCAGGCGCCTGCCTTGCCCTTCCCTGGGGACCCCAAGCAGTACCTGCCACAGTGATGCCTGCAGGTGCCCGCCAGCCCTCCTTGCTGCTGGGACTGCTGGAGCCAGGGGCTGGGCATCCCCAAACCAGCCCACCTGGACGAGATCGCTGTGGGCACAGCAGCTCCTGGTGCCAAGCACAGTGCTGGAGGAAAACTGCGGGTAGGACTGGGGGTGGGACTGGGAGTGGTGGGGCACCGCCACCCCCCAGTAGTGGTGGTGATGGGGAGGGGGGAACACAGGGTAGCCATGCTGCACCAAACGTGGAAGTAAAGCCTGTGGTAGTCTTGCAAGCCTCCGTGGCATCATTGCTGCATGCCCACTGATGGGGTTATCCCTCTCGGACAGGCTGGACGTGCCACCTGTGCAGGCTGTCACAGACCCCTAAGCCATTTGGTCCTGTCCCAGCACCCCACAAGGGTGCTGAGAGATGAGACAAGGGGGAACTGGAGCAGAGTCAGGCATCTGATGGGCCATGCACCACTGCTGGCAGCCAAAGCCACGGTACCCCACTGCAAATTCACAGCTTCAAGCCTAGGGCAAATGGGGCCCCTGGCATCCCCTGCCACGGCAATAGTAGCAACAGGGCATGAATCACAGACACAGCCCCCCCATCCTGGGGCTGCAACGGAGCCACAGATGGGATTAGGGGCAGGTGATTCCTCCCTCCATTTATGCCCTGGCCGTGGTTCTTGGGGGCAGCTGAATTGCTATCCCTGCTCCCTAGCAAGCAGCTTGGGGTGGAAAGACCCTGGGCCACCAGGCACCCAAACCCCCTCAGGGATGGGTGCCCCTTAGCACCCACCCCGCTACCAGTATTACTACATGACTCCATCCCCCACCAGCTCTCCTTGCCCCACAGGATCATCTCTGGCAAGCACAGCCCCTTCCCCCCATCCCAGCAACGCCGCGTCCCCCCGTGCCCCTTGCTGACCTCTGAGGCCCCCGCGGCTTTGTCCCTGCTGGCGGGGGAGATGCGGAGGTCAGCCTGGGAATGGTGGCGGGCAGCGTCTGCTCCTCTATGGTCCAGCTCACACCACCTGCGTCCGGCTCCAGGATGTGCTGCACCTCCATCAGCCTCGCTGTCCCAGCACTGGCCGCCTCTGTTGCTGCTGGGAGAAAACCAGCTGGTTGCTGCCCGCAACTGGCTCATGGCACTGCGTGCCAGAGGTGACACAGCACTGCAGGCATGGGTGGAGGAAGACAAACACCCAGCAGCTGAGGCATCACCTCTTGGATGCCTGCAGCCTGGTCATGGCCCAGAGCCACTTCGGCTGTGCCAGCCTGCCCATGCTCTCTGCTAGGTGGCTTTTCCTGCCCCATCCCTGGACGGTGCGTGATGCCCACAGCACTGAGACCAGATGGATCCAGGCTGGCACCTTGAAGCAGGCACGGATGGTGCCCACCAACACAGGCAGGGGTGCCCAGAGAAGACCACCAAGTACCCAGTGCCTTGGCTGGGTCCTGCCTCCCATCACCCTGCCTGGGTCACCTCCCACGGGGTCAGCCCTGGGGCCACGATCTGGGTGAGGTCCTGGGGCACCATACTCCTTCCGGCCACAGCCTTCTTGCTGGTGAGTGGCGGCACTGCACAGCACTCCTGTCCCCTCACAGCCACCCCACGGTGATGTCCTCTCCCCAGTCCCACAGCTGAAGGGACAGGCTGCCCTGGCCAAGCGTACCTGTCCCTGCAAAAGCCAGGAGCTGCCGTAAGCTGCCCAAACCGTAGCACCAGGCATGGCCCCAGCCCCTGGGGTCTCCCTCCCCAGGAAGATGCAGAATTAATGAGCTCTGGCCTGTCTTTGCCTGGCCATTTCCCATTGATTCCTGCATCCCTGTTGCCCTGCTACTAATCTCCAGGGCCAGTGGGCTCTGAACAGGGACAGGTACTGTCACCCACCTCTCCCCGCTTCGCAGAACTGCTGCTCCTTCCAGATAAGTTCAGTCCCTGGCGTATCCATACAGTGCAACCGAAAAGGGATGAGCTCTTCCAGCCTGCTAGGAGCATGCAACTGAGACCACGTTCTCCACCATCCCCAAGCAGTGGTTTTACCTGCCCACAGGAGGTCCCTGGGGTTTATCCCCACACCAGAGACAAGGGCAAAACCAAAAGCAGTAGCCAGGATGCCACAGGTCTCAGGCAGCGGATGGGTCTTGCAGGATCTGGTAGGGGAACACCTTGCAGGTCACCCTATCCAGAGTTCGCAGGGTGCTGGTGCTGTGATTCTGATTCTGTGGTGGGAATGCAGTGAGAGAGGAAAAGACCCCCCACCACCCAGCATCAGCCCCACGTGCCCACACCCCATCAAGAAGCACTAAGACGGGGCAATGTCATCCTCTAAGCATCCCCTGACTGCTACCCTCCAAAATTGGGGACTCCTTTCTCTCTGTGGGCTGGGAAGCAGATTTCCTCCTTAGCTTCAGCTTGGAGACACCCAGCACACACCTCCCACCACTCCCTGAGCCCCCCAGCCAAGCCCAGCCCAGCCATCAGCCCCCACTTGACCAGCTGTAGCCAGAGACACCCAGGGCCCACAAGCCCACCACAGCCCAGCATCCCCTTGGGGAAGAAGAGCCCTGGGGCCAGACTGCAGGGCTCGAAGAGGTTCAAGGCCCTCCCGCTTTCCCCGAAAGCCACTGTGCAAGGATTTGAGGATGTTTAAGGCTGGACAAAGCCTTCAGGATGAGGACAGCAGAGAAGGTCATGACTCACCGCAGATTTGGGACTCCCACAGCTCCAGGCTTGCCTCCTGAATGAAGAGGATTTGAAACCTTTCTCTAGAGCACTGAGAGAGGCTCCTTCCCCTCCCAAACCAGCCCATGGCTATCTTTTCACCACTCTCATCAGCGGGACAGACTAAACCACAACCCAAAAGCCCTGCTCAAAAACCAGTCTGGTTTTAACCCTCTCCAAGCCATAGGAGGCACAAACCTGGTGCTTGGCACTGTTCAAACCCTACTTTTCTTCTGACCTCAGGAAAGGTTGTAGCCTTGAAGAGGACAAACGCCACGCCCCAGCCAGCTCGCTCCCTTCAAGGCTGAGTAAGAGGAACCAGTGCCGAGTTCCTCCAAATCTCAACCACGGTGGCAGCGGAAGGAGAGGAACGGCCTCCCAGGGAAGGACTCTTCCACAGCTCACTCGCAAAGCGTATTTAAGGGCGAACACAGCAGGACTGCAGAATTTTCAGATTTAATAGCAAGCCTGCACTCATCAACACCAGCTTAGACGCGGGGCATCAGAGAAGTGGGCGAGTACATGAAATAGCAGAGGTGGACGTGACGCGCAGCTGGGCACAACAACAGGACTAAAGCCCTAAGTGATGTCATCTGCAAAAAGCTAAATGCACTGTGAATAAAAGGAGCCTGCAGCTAGTATTTCAGCCCTGCCTTGCAAGGCTATTTTTGCTTAGATTGCCAAAATGTAATTACAACTAAATCCCCCCTAACAAATACCGGAGAGCAGCAGGGGAGACTTGTATTTAAAAGGAATTTTAAGTAGCAGCTGTAGTAGTACCTGATGGCAGTGGGGAAAACAATCTGCGCCTGGAAAAGAGCATTTGGTTGAGAGATGGTGACAAACAAGTGGCAAGAGCAGGAATAGGACCACAGGGTCTCGAGAAACACAGAGAGGGATGCCGTCACAGCCTGGGGAACTGCCCTGCTCCCTGCCCAGCCAGGTGCCAGCAGGCACAAACTGCCTGACCACAAGGAGCAGTCAGTCATCACTGTCAGCGCGCTGAATGTTTCTAGAGACAGCCTAGGACTGACACCCTCAATGTGGAAAACAAATCCTTCAGGAGGCTGAATATTTTAAACTGTTTTCTCTGCTGGTCCTGGCTGCTTTCAGTCTAGACTTCCATAACAACACGACAAATTTGCAATTGGAGCAACGAGGCTGAAGGTCTCCCAGTCCCCAAGGCCAGTAATTGTCCCAGACACGAGCCACTAGTCCTGTGGTCCCGACCAAACTGGCCCAAGCAGCCCTTTCTCCTGAGGGACTGCGCAGAGCACGCGGGGCACAAGATGTGCCCCATCCCTGGCCACAGCCTCGCCTCCTGGGCCCAATGCAAAGGCTCTATCAAAAACAAAAGGCAATTGTGCGATTCCCCAAGGAAAAGGGGAAAAGGCTGGAGCTGTTAATGAGTACAATTAGCATTGTAGTCAAGCAGGATCAGAGGAAATAATTAGCTCCTACTGTTTTCTGTGGCATCCAAATTGCAGCCATGCTGGCTTTCCAGGCAACAACCCATCAGTTTAGCCTCACCCTGGAGGACAGGAGACACAGAGTCACTCACAGCCATTCTTCTGGTCAGTTTTCACACAGCTATAAGCAGCAGCCTGGGCCATCGTCCTCCTCTGCTACACCCACCGGGGGTCTGCTTTCCCAGGTGGCCAGAGACTTGCAAACCTCAGTGCACCCCAGGAGCACACGCAGCCCTGCATTCAGCCTTTCCTTGGATCCACCACAGGGCAGCATTGCTGGCTCTCCACCGAGACAGCCAGAATGAAGGCAACTAAGTGACACCAAACATCTCTTTGTCCTAGTTTAAGGGAAGCTTGCATCCCTCTCCCCAGCAAATAGGGCTGGGTGCAAGGCACTGCTAACCACGGAGTATGAGGAAGTGACAAAGACAAAGCAAGCATCTAACTTTTTAGGCAACATGTTACATCTCTAACTCCTCTGCCCATGTAACTCCACAAATACAGTGAAGTTTGGCCACCACTGGCACTTGGGGTGCTTTGTTGTTTATGTAGGCGGGCAGCTCAGGGGAGGATGCTTTATGGAGCTGGCAGAAGCAGGCCTGGGGCCCTACCACAGCCTCAAGAAATACCATCCCACCAATTTTCAGAGAGTCACAAAAAAAAGAGAGACTGAAAGAAACAAAGAGACCCAATAATTTATTGGCAGAGCTGAAAGGGGGCATTTGAAAACCATAGGGCTGACTCTCAACTGGGAAGCTCCTCCCAGCTGCAGAGAGATTTATAATACTGGTATCCCTCAGCAAAAGGCTCTGACG